TTTTCGTAGCTCTGGGTTGTTGGGGGAAAACAAGGATGCTTCAGAAGACGCTTCTCCCTGTTCTTCACCGCTTGTTATTCGCCCTCCCGCTGATGTAGGCCAACCGACCATGTCTTCTTTGGCGTTCAAACTTGCCAACATGCAACTTCGTGAACATCCAGCCGCTGTGAAAAGCCATGCCCCTGCCCATGCCGTTATGAATCATCCCACATCTTCCTTGACCCTGGACGAACGTGTTGAGTCACCACGCCATGCTGCATCACACGCCTCGACTTCGGCTTCCCGTACTAAAATGCTGTTGGAACAAGTACTCACTCTCCTGCGAGCAAATCAAGTAGTGGATGCTGCTGCCGACGCGAATGTACAACCTCCTGTGCCCTCCCACGCTCCTAGCGTGCCACCACCTGCCCCATCTGTTCCCCCTAGCGTGCCACCACGAACGCATCTAACACCGCTGCAAGACCACGCTTCGAGCTTTTCGGGAGCTCCGGTAGGGCGCAATGTTCGTGCCGAAATCGCTACCAGGGCCACGTCAGGATCATCATCATCCGCCACGATGTCGGCGACAGTTCCGGTCGGACCTGCGGTGGCACCGTCAGCGTCGGCAGTCCCTGCCCTGTTGCAACAGCCTTTGTTGGTATCGCCGCCCCCTTCCAACGTGCGTCTGTTCTGATTGATCCTAGCTCTGCGACCGGCCACATCGTCGAGCCACCGGGTCAAGCGACATTGCCGTTGACTCAGGACGATGCTGGTTTGCCTTTGTCTTCCACGGGAGCGAGAGCGAGGCAGGAGGCTCTGGACGCTGCGGACGCCGCTGCAGCGGAGGCCGACACCATCCGCATTCAAGACAANAACTGATCCTTATGAATTTGCTCATTTTGCGTCTAGCTGCAAGGGTGTGGTCACAGAGATCCTCAACAAAAGCGATGCCAAGCGCAAGCAGAGATTTCAAATCCTCCACGTGGGTCACCGGATGGCTTCCGTTGTTGCGCAAACACGTCCGTGCTGCTGTCGTTGAAGGTCAACCAACCGTGCCACGCTGGAATTTCTTGATGCCACCTTCCTACAGATAGAAAACCATCTGCGCAAGGAACCGGCAGGGCCCTCGACGTACGCCTTCTTAATCCAGAAATTGGCGGCTGCCTGGGACACTCAAGACAAGAGCTCGGGGATTGATCATCTTCGCAGTTTTGGCGTATCCAACGGTGAGACTTACGGAGAATACATTTGTCGCTATAAGGCGGCCATGACCGTCATGGTTTCCCACCGCACGTTCAAGCCTTCTGATGCGCAAGTGCAGATAGCTGTTCGAGACTCCATGTTGAAGCAGTTTCCGGTAGTGTCTGGGCAGGTGTACAAGGATGAGCAGCTCTCCATGGAAGTCCCTTTTGGGCGATATTCTTCGTGTCTGGATGATATGTGGGATGTGTTGGACAAGCGTGCGTTCGTGCACACGCCGGCGGTGCATGGAGATGATTTCTTTTCGGTATCGTCCACGAATGCTAGGAGTTCGTCTGCTGTTTCGCGTGCTGTAGCTTCTTCGGCGTTGCGTTCGACGGTGAGCCCTTCGTGGAGCCAGGGCTCTTCGGCCGTCGTGATGAGTGTTGACCCTCTACCTAATGATGATCGCCACCCTTTCCTTTTGCATTACAGTGACTGGCCGTTGCAAGGACACTTCCAAGAGGTGTACAACGTCGCNTATTCTTCGTGTCTGGATGATATGTGGGATGTGTTGGACAAGCGTGCGTTCGTGCACACGCCGGCGGTGCATGGAGATGATTTCTTTTCGGTATCGTCCACGAATGCTAGGAGTTCGTCTGCTGTTTCGCGTGCTGTAGCTTCTTCGGCGTTGCGTTCGACGGTGAGCCCTTCGTGGAGCCAGGGCTCTTCGGCCGTCGTGATGAGTGTTGACCCTCTACCTAATGATGATCGCCACCCTTTCCTTTTGCATTACAGTGACTGGCCGTTGCAAGGACACTTCCAAGAGGTGTACAACGTCGCTAGTGAGATGGCTCTAACCAAGGATGATCCGCCATTGTTCACCCCCTTGGTCTCGGCTGAAGAACGACGCAACGAGCTTCGACTGTACAAGGGCAAGTGCCTGAACTGCTTAAGAGAAGACCATTCCTTCAAATCCTGTAATGGTGGTTTCGTGAACGGCACCGGCTTGCTTAACAGTGAGATCAAGTTCTGTGTGGAAAAAGATCCCACACTTTGGGGTCGGTGGAAAAAGCGCATGATCTCGAGTAAACGTCCTACAGGACGCAACCCACACCGAAATCACTCCTCAGGACGCGCCCGCCGCTCATCTGACACATAGGACACGACACAGTCCTCACACACAGAGCTCTCGTCGGAGGCTTCCACTTCGGCAAAAAGGAGCTGGAGGGGTAAGAAATGACAAGGCGATGGCGGAGTTCAGCCGGTACTACCGTCAGCAACCACCGTGAACCCTTTTGGAGTCTCCCAAGATGTCCGTGTACAGCCTATTTCTTTTGATACTCCCCACGCTCCTTAATCATATCTAGTTCCTCGGCCCGCCTCCTCGTCGTCCGCCTCATCGTCTGCTGGTATTGGACATGACAAACCCATTTCAGCAGTACCTTTGTGATGTGGGCGACAGGGAGGTAAGCCGTCGAGCGGTTCATCCCTGCTCATCTCGTCGTCTCGGGTTACAGAAGGAACAAGAAACTCGTCTTCTACTGTTCGTCAAGATTTTCCTGGTGTTGTCGGCCGGGACTCTTCTCGGACACACACGAGCCTTCTTCTACACTCGTCGGGAACACCGTCGATCCTCCTTCTTTTTCGCAGCTTTCGTTGTCGCGTGTCTGTCCTTCGTTGCAAGCCTTGTCGCAATCCGTACGAGACGGACGACTTGCCGCAATCCCTACCCGCCGAGCTTTTGCGTCATGTTCTGCACTCTTTCGGAGATAAATGTCCACCTTTCCACGTCACCGCGGATGATGTGTCGGTGCCTGTCGGGCGCCTCGAGGTCGACTACATCTCGGGACATCAACTGGTGCGGGGCCGTAGCGGCGTTCTCGCTGTCCTGTACCAGACGTATTGGTTACGCCCAACTACTTTTTCATGGGAACGGGATTCCGACCTTGATCAATTCCGTCGACACATCCTCTTGTGCTGGTTCCGGGAGGTCTGCCAAAGCAAGAAGGGTATTTGTCGATTGACTTTTACCTACATCCGTTCACCTTCGCTTATGGCGTCACCTGGATACTGGTTCGAATCTCCTTGGGTGCACACTTTTTCTCCTGACTTGGACATTTTCCCATGGACACAATGTGTGTCAGTCCTGAGAACACCTCTTGGAGTCGATCTTACCTAAAAGAACCTTGTGACACTTCCATCGAACTACCCATCCTGGCCACAAGAGGTTTCCAGTTGAGGGTAAATTCTGTGGGTGGATAGTGTTAAGGAGGACCCGATTTGCAGGGTATCCGTCGATCGACTTTTTCCTGGGTCGGTACACCTTTGCACATACATACATACATACATACATACATACATACATACATACATACATGCATACATACATACATACATACATACATACATACATACATACATACATATGGCCATGATCAGGATACTATCATCGCCGGAACAAAGGGCCAGCTACGTCAACGGTTCAATTGCAACCTTTGCTGTTCTGTTTTCTTCTTCCTTCCCGCTCGTAATCGGTGATTGGTGAGGCTGACGGGAGGTGTATAGTACAGATATGGTCGATTCGCTTCTATTGCTTTCATGAAGTTTTCTCGCCTGGCGACTCTAACATTAATCGTATCTGCACCTCCACATTCAATATCACCACGGTAGCTATCCTGGCGGAGAAGAGGAAACTTCTTTTTTCTGCTGCAAATACACCACAATTCACGGCACCCACCAGCATTCCATTGCCGGCCAACTAAAAAGGAGCATCAGAAGTCCTAGAGCAGTGGAGGCTCAACTTTGGAGACGCGGCATCGGATAAGAATTCCGGGAAGTAACGGGCGCTACTCCAACACACCACTTTTTTTTTTTTTCGCCCATAATCGGATCCTGTCGTCTGCCCCTCTGGCCCCTATCCTCCACTTCTACTAGCTAGACGACCCAACCGGGGTCAGATAGGAGGGAGGGGCTGGACCCCCCCCTGCGGTTCCTGCCTGAGGTATTTTTATCGCGAGAAGGGTACTACTGTCAAAACGCGAATCCTCGTCTTCACAGATGAGACTAAAAAAGCTGTTCAAATATATGTTAATGTCGATGGGACACCTTGGGGACGGACATGGGATGCGTTCGACCCACGGCCAACCGCTGGCCTTCAGGCACGCACATATCCGACAGGATTCCCCCCTTGACCGAGCTCATGAAATCAAAGTAGGGCACCTTAGTCAAGGACAGACGAAATCGGCGATTGGGGAAGGAAGGGGTGTCTTTGTCCATGTGAGAAGATGAAAGATTCGGTTGCCTCGTGGGCTTTAATGCTACACGACGACGGGAAGTCTATCTAGTATCGCCCCCCGAGTGAAAAAGGTATCATCGCCCTCCTTGGATCCGTCTTGTGTTCCTTCAAAGAGGGCAGCGCCCCGGCTGGGCTGTAAGAATCTCGAGCTGTGCACATCTGTACCGCTGCTGTGCTGATATCAATGGTGACGGTGGTGGTGATTTGTTGCCACCTCGCGACCGAAATATGGGTAAGAAAGTCGCTTTGTCTTGTCTGCCTCCGCACCTGGCGAGCCTTCTCTTCCTCCAGCTCGTGCAAAGCCTTCTGGTGCAGGCGATACGCAGCTGCTTTGCCTGTGGATCCACTGGTGGAATGGGGGGTTCAACGATGTTGTTGTTTGGTTGAGGTGGTGGTGATGGTGGTGGCGACGTCTCTAGTGGATTGTTTGTCTTGTTGTCTTGTGGGTGTTACTGTCGTCGTCGTTGTTGAGACAGGGGCGCACTAATATGTGGTGCTGCTGTCAATACTCAATATACTACTAAATGGCGTAGCATCTTGCATGTTTTTTTACCGCATCTGGGTATACGCTGTAGAAGGGGCACTACCGGTGACAGTTACCACGTATCGCCTGCCGCCGGACCGACGGTATCCGCACAGAGAGAATAGAGTGCAATCTCCGGGTGCACGCACGGCTGTTTTGAAAGCATCCGGTGCACCCTGTTCATCTTACACACCACCACAGCCAATATATATCACTCAAACACGATGAGTGAAGCAAAACGGTGTGAGCGAATAGGTCATCGGAAACATATTCTCCCCAGGCTCTCACCGTCGAATCACTGGGAGGGCCAAGCCTCGATGTTTTGCCCAGGCTTGCAGCTCAGCTTTGGCTTCCTTGGCCGCGGCGTTTTCGTGCTGGTTCGGGTGCCTGCAAGAGAGAGAGAAAAAAACATGTTTTTCCCCGAGATACCTGATGGTCGTCGACTATCGATCGTTCTGGGTGTGCCCCAAGCAAGGTCTGAGCAAGAGCCGACAAAAATGTTCGCGGAATTTCACCGCACAAGTTTGTGCGATGGTTGACCGAATTTCAAAAGCGCACCTCGCTCGCAGATTCCAAAAGAAAGTTCTATCGATTGGAGGACTCGATTGCAGCATTGTGAACTCAAGATGATTGGTGTCCCAGATCGGAAGGTTTCCTCGAATGGTATTCGTTGTTTTTTTGCCGGACCCCAGACAGACGCAGACCGGGATATGTGGTTGAATGGATCTCCTGGGTGAGGCACGTGTTAACATTTGTCTAATAATAGATATGCTCAGAGCTCATTTGCACCCGCCTGGATCGCATTTTTGGCTTCGTGAGTAGACATCTGCGGGGACGGACCCCTCGCCAGACGCTGCCTGAAAAGAACTTAATGGTGCTTGGGAAAGTGAGCAGCCGGGATTCGAACCCGTACGTGCATCCTTCAGCTCCAAATAATAAACCATCAGACAAGTCGGGGGACGGACCCCTCGCCAGACGCTGCCTGAAAAGAACTTAATGGTGCTTGGGACAGTGAGCAGCCGGGATTCAAACCCGTGCGTGCATCCTTCAGCTCCAAATGTTAAACCATTAGACAAGTCAGCGTACCACGAAGCCAAAAAAGTGATCCAGGCGGGTGCCAATGAGCTCTGAGCATATCTTTTATTAGGCAAATGTTACACCATTGAACGTCAGCCGCTGGCTAGTCTAATGGTGTAACATTATCTTATACGTGTAGACACTTCTCAATGTCATGGCGCGACAATATTTTTTGAAGCGCGTATCACCTGTTGACCACAAAAATTTCACGGAGTTCTTCGGGCGAGAGAAGGCCACAATTGCTGCCGTCGGCGGCAACGCAGCCTTCGATACGCTCCGCAAGGATGATGAACCTGTTGTTTGTTCGTTGACGGGGAGCATCGCAGAAAATGTTGGCGTACCAAGTCCAGGATTTGCCTATAAGATGCGAGAGAACGCACGGCGGTGATATCGGCTTCTTACATCATTTCGTTCTTGACTTTTTTTATACGGGGGTGCGATATCGCCGCCCCGTGCGTTCCCTCACACCCTTGCGGTACATGCGGGGGTATCCCAAACATTGTCTGTCCTGTGGGCGCGGTCAGAAACACAGTCTATTCTCCAGGAGACTCGCGTGTCTTTTTCGGAG